GTACTTACAGTCTGTGAGTCAGAACAGCCGGCATTGTAGTCTACTCTCCCAGGATCAGGAAACAGTCCTCCATAAAATGTGCTGCACACATCTGAATATTTGGGTTGAACTGTTCTGGAACAGTGTTGTAAATACAACTTAACCACTGATTTCTAGTCGTGTCCTCTTTTGGAAGACCAAACAAAGTAGTTTCGCTTTCGCAACGAAACACGCAGTGTCTTCACGACATGGCGGCGGTGGCAGCAACAATAAAGTTACGCCTTCTTTCTTTGTGTGAACATTTGGGCGGTGTTATGCAAATCTTCCCACATAGTGACGTAGACATGTGGGGGCGTGTTAGAACGAGCCGTTTTAGGTAGGTGTGGCTGACTCTTAACTTTTATAAAGAATGTCTCTTTGGGTTTGAGACTTTAATCTTTGCAACTTTATGGATCTTATCTATTTACAAACAGCTTGTAACGCTCCAAAGAGAAAGGAAAACTTGAAATCGCATCATATGACCCCTTTAATGTTTGACTGCTCATAACGCAGCGTTCATTTCTCACGCTTTATGCACTGCATGCTAATGACTCACCGTGTTCATGAGAGTGGACTCAGAGTTCGCCACCAACACAAACACATCCGCGTCCAGACAGAATTTATCGATCCAGCTGTCCAGCTGTGTGGTGACGTCAGTTCCAGGGCTGAAAGAAAACATCAGAAAAATACACACTATAATTCAAAGGTTTAGAGTCATTCATACTTTTATTCAGCGCGGATGCATTTAATGGATCAAAGGTGACAGCAAAGACTATTATAATGTTTCAAAAGCTTTGTCAAATAAATGCGAAATCACGATTTCCATAAAAATATGAAGCAACGTTGATAATAATAAATAGGGATGTGTCTTGAGCAGCAAATCAGCATATTAGAATGATTTCTGAAGATCATGTGACACTGAAGACTGGAGTAATGATGTTGAAAATACAGCTTTGCATCACAGAAATAAATTACAGTTTAACAGAGATTCACATAGAAAACAGCTATTTTAAATTATAATAATATTTCACATTTTTACTGTATTTTTGATAAAATAAATGCAGCCTTGATGAGCAGAAGAGACTTAAAACATTAAAAAATGGACGGAAACTTTTCAACTTTTATGTTCAGGATGTGCCGGCTTGATAACACTAGGATTGTAATTATCTTCAGATCAATTTATGTTAAACATACAAACTCGACTTTTCTTGGGATTGAAGTGTACCTGTCCACCAGAACCAGGTCGTCTCTCAGCAGAGCACACTTTGTTTTGGGCCAGAACACTTTGACCAGACAGCCGGCATCCAGACTCTCATCCATATGTAGTGCGTGAGCCAACTGATTCACTGTCTGCAGAGAAAAAGTGTGTTTGACCTTCATCACATGCACTTTAAGAACCAGTTCTATGACGAAAGACGCTAGTGCAAAATGTGATCCATTGAAATCCATTTAAATTTTTCATAAATTCTGCATTTTCTTTTTGCATTTTTCTGGATTCCGTTTTAATGGCTTAATTAAATTTTAACCACCAGAAATTATACCTTATGAATTGATTTCATAAAATTTGAAGAGTTTCTGTGTTTTAATAAATTGTGTTATTTATTATTATTATCCTATTATTATTTGTATTATTATTATTATATGTTATTATTATTATTTCTTCAAGGTAAACCAAACTTTTATTTTGACAGGCTGTCATGAAGAGTTTCTGTGTTTTAATAAATTGTATTATTTATTACTATTATTATACATTTTATTACTATTATTATTATTATCATCTTTCTACTGTGCAACAATAATATATTTCTGTCATTATTTCTTCAAGTTAAACCAAACCTTTATTTTGACAGGTTGTCATGAAGAGTTTCTGTGATTTAATAAATTGTATTATTTATTACTATTACTATTATCATTAATATTGTTACTATTATTATTATTATCTTTCTACTGTGCAACAATAATATATTTCTGTCATTATTTCTTCAAGTTAAACCAAACCTTTATTTTGACAGGTTGTCATGAAGAATTTCTGTGTTTTAATAAATTGTGTTATTTATTATTAGATTATTATTATTATTATATGTTATTATTATTATTATTATTTTTTCAAGGTAAACCAAACCCTTTTTTCGGTGATTTGCAGTGAAGATCTTCGACTTTCTGTGTGTATCATAACATATCATGTTTTTGCTTTAATATTCACAGACATGAGTTCATATTGCAATTTGACTAATTGTACAGCTCTACTTTTCATGTATTCTTCCAAATTTTGCAAAATTCTGTCACATTCCGCATTACACATTAAATTCCATTTTACTGGATTTGTGTTTTCTGGAAATCACAGGGCCCTAACGGAGTAACTTCTGAGATAAAATCATGCTTCTGGCCGCCGCACCTTGATGCTTTTCTCCTCCTCGGATCCTTCGGTCTTCAGAAAGGCCTTGTCTTCATCCGTGCCCTCCACGCTCAGGAAGCAGTTAGTGGTGTGGCCGATGCCGCTGGGTAGCACGCGGTCACGCAGCATGGCGTTGATAACCGTGCTCTTGCCATTGCTTGTTCTGTAACAAACAGAGGACGTTTAGAACATTTATTGAAGTGAAACGCTTCTTTGATGCAACTTGCGATCTAACACAAAACCCACCTGCCGAAAAAAGCCACCTTCATGTGTCTGCGAGCTAACACCTCTTTAATGGTGGACAGTTTGCTCGTGTACGCCTCGATCTGATCCAGCTGGCTCCTGTTTGCAATATTCTCCAGCGACTCATTATTACAGGTTTCTGTTGAGACACAAGTAAACAAAACACATGCAAATATCAACACTACTGTAGTTAACCAAACAAACATTACTAACCAATCTGCACATTTCTAATGGAGGACCTGTGGGATGTTTTTACACTGAAATTCACAGAAATCAACTTAAAATTCAGTTTACCTTTTACAAACTCCGAGCCCTCCTGAACGTAAACTAAAAGCTGCTCAAAAACCTCTCCAATCTTCTTTTTGGCCAGAACAAAACGCTTTAACGGAGAAGGATCCAACTGCTCCATTTCCACACCTGTACGGAGAATATTTCAGAAACATCGATGAGAATCCGATGAGATCAGGAACAGGGTTTTTAGCGTTAAATTCAACTAAAACCATACAACATAAAGCATAAAAACAAATTCATAACTTTAAATAAAATAAACATTATCTGGAGAAAAAAAATGCAAAAATATATTTTATTTCAACTAGTGGCCAAGTCAACATTTCTAATTACGGTTTAGGTCAAGCTGATATACTTTTAAAATAAATAAATAAATAGAATTAAAAAAAAGTAAAAAAAAGTAAAAAATATAACTATATAAATATATACATAAGCACAAAAAATTATAAATAATATTTAGCAAATTGTATACAAAATACAATTAAACTAAAACTTACAAAATTACAAAAGTATACAATTATAACAACTAATCCAAAATATCAATACAAACAATAATAGTGCATTAATGATACAAAAATTCAAGGAGACAAGTTCAGGAGACATTATTATGGATTATCATTATTTTATTTATGAAATGAACTCACTCGTATCGTCAAGACCTTCACATCAGAGCTGAAAACTGGAAATAACAACAAATAAAAATGAAGATTTCATTATTTTTAATGTCGAGGTTAACAAATCTGGAGCCTCCTCTCATTAACAAAAAAGTATCATAGCATTACTAGTTTTTTTTGGGACATGTGCAGTTATACTACCAGTGTATTCTTTAAAGTACCACGTAAATACCATGGTATATAAATATGGTAAACATTCAGTACCGTGTTTTTTCCATGACGTCACACAGTAAATGTTACAAAATCATACAAGAATACAAAAGTCAAAGTAACTCATGATGATTACTCATGCTAAAAAAACGTATCAACAACAACATCTGGTGACTTCCTGAGTAACAATTAAACCTAAACACGATGTTTACATAAGCTTATCAATGCACTAGTGTAAAGTATGGAGTACGAAACCTGCAAAAACAATAAATAAATAAATACGCAAATAAATAAGAAATACATTTGAGAAACTCTACCCTCTTGAAACGAATACTTACTTAAGTTAACATGAATTTGCTCTCTGGTATTTCTAAAACTACAGCTGTAAGTTAATAATCGAGCAGCAGCTGAACTGTCAGATGTTTGTAAAGGTGACATGAGCGTTTAGCTTTAGCGCAGGAGACACATGATATCTAATCATTAATATCTGATTTCGCTTTCGTTTTCTACATATCGATATCATCGCATAATCACTCTAGATGCTGTAAAACACATGAATCACAGATCTTACCCGATCACAGGACTGTTAAATCCTCTCCTGTCATGACAAACAGATGCTAGACTCACTGCCGACACCGAACCGCTAAGATTTCAAAATAAAAGTCCCAGACGAGCGTGCTGCTAATTTCAAAATAAAAGTCACGGCACAGCCGAAAACTCGCTGTTCCTCCAACAATAAAATTATAATCCTGTGTTCTGTGATTTACTTCTGCCAAACACAAAAGTTATGTGAAATTCTTGCACTTCCCACCTACACTCATTACGCAGCGCTCTGTTTTTTAGGATGATGAAAAGGTTAAAAGTGACAATTTTAGGCGGGCAAACAGCGCTCGTCAATGTCAAAATAATTGAGACGGCCAATCAAATCAAAGTAGGCGGGGTTTACCGTTAACAAGCAGAGCGCGTGAAGCTAACGGTTGAAGAGTATGAGGTAAGATGAAAATAGCAAAACATTTAATATTTGACAACAGTTTTATGACAGAAATGTTACATGACTGACACTCGACTTTTTCCTCAAACATGACCATTCAGAATTCAAAATATGGAGTAATTTACGTGATTCACATAACTGAATATGACCAGAGACATGAAACGTTTTGAATTTTCGTCATGTTAGCATACAAATAAGAGTATACAAGTGCATATTTGAAAACATTATTTACAAATAGTTAAAAATTATTACTTAAATACTAGAATTAGACCTAGCATCTCATTTTTCTTTATATTTCTTTCTACTTTATAAAAAAAACGTCTCCTCCAATGTTCAATCTATCATTACGATATGAATTCTCCAACAACTAGGCTATATATTAAAGGGGTCATATGATGCGATTTCAAGTTTTCCTTTCTCTTTGGAGTGTTACAAGCTACCTACAATAATGTACAGTATTTGAAAAATAATGTGTTTTTTGAACATTAAAGCATGTCAGCATATTCTGTTACACCAAATACACAAAATAATGATCTTTAAAATAGCTTCATATGACCCCTTTAAGACTCGTCCATGCCCTCCTAAAAGGCCTCGTTTAAACCATAGACTGTATAAAAACATGGACGTAGTGTCCGTGACGTCACCCGTAGAGTTCCGAAGAGCGTTTTTGAAGCCTAAAGTGGGCGGAGCCAGCCGTCCATCTTGGCAGCGCGTCACCGCGCTTCACTCCCGGATAATCGAAAATGGGCAAAGAGGCGGGAGCAGGTTGCTGAAACCATAACTTTATTGTTGCTGCCGCCGCCGCCATGTTGTGAAGACGCTGTGAATTTCGGTACCTGAGAACGCATCTGGGCGCATAAGCTACAAAGAAAGAAAGAGAAACCCTGCAACTCGTTCAAACAACACACAGGGCAAGCCGAAATATTCTGAAGTGTGGTTACATTTCTAGGGCCATATGGTTTCTGCGAAAACGCGGACAGGATCGCGGGGGCCATTCATAAAAACGTAATTTACTCTATAGTGTACTGACGGAATTCGTCAATTTTGGATGAATAAATCAAAAGTAGGTCTGCCACTTAATTCGAATTGCATATGAACTAGTGTCTGTGAATATTAAAATGCAAAAAGACGGTTTAAATATGAATCCTGCATGTCCCGCTTGCCTCTGTATGTATGAATGGCGGAAACGCGGTTTTGTTTACCACACAAATGCTGAAGCACGCGTGACGCTCGCGGTGATTTTCGGCCTCTGCGTCTCAATGACAGCATGAACAAAAACTTAATCTCCAGAGCTGCTGTGAGAGTCACTTCGCGA